CAGGGACGGAAACCGCTGTGCCCCAGCCTAATTCACCCCTTTTTCCAACCCCAGGGAACTCCTGAGACCAGCAGCCCTCACCGTCTGGGGAGCCTGTCACTACTGCAGAGACCATGATTCAGCAGATCTGCGAGAGCCCCGGCCGTCTGCATTTTCACAGTCACATCAAGGAATTCTTATTGGAGCAAACTTCAGATCACACTCTGAGGACAATGCCATCAGGCCAACTGCAGAGGTTGGACAGGAGCACAGCCCAGCTAAGGCCTTCCTGGGAGCCTACCTGGGACAGAGCGAGAAGACATGCTCCCATCTCAGAGAGACCGAATTGCTTGGAAAGAAGAATGCAGTGATTGCATCCAACCAAATTTGGAAGCAAGAGGTATTACATCTGAGGCCAGGTATGCAGCCAAGCTTGAACGCTGCAGGGTGAGCAGGGTGTGAGTAGGTAGGACAGCTTTCAAGTATCACCTCCACACCACAAACATCACAGTGTGTTATTATGTGTGGTGTTCCTCTGTGCCCATGCCCTGCCATGTGATTATTGTGCCACGGTTCTCAGCCCCACCATCTTAAGATATGGGCCTCTTGGATCCTTAGGTAGGCAGATGCCCTGTTAGCTTGAGTCATGACATCACCTTCCGGGCTTTGTGTTTTCTACTTTAATTATTAAATTCTAGGAAACAGAGAATCCCATTGGTCCCGGTGGGTTTGCATGCCTATTCCTGGCTCAATCAGGTACAGCCAGGTGGGCAGGGTCACTAAATGGAAACAAGGCCAGTTAGACTGCACTGCCTGTGAGAGGCAGTCCCCAGGCCAGGGGGCAGCGGTGCCAAAGTTGAACAGAGTGGTAATTCCTGAAGAAGTGAATTTTCTGTCCTTCTCATTAATTTCCAACTTCAGCTGGTGCTTTTTCCTTTCCCAGGCCCAGATGTCAGACACTGGAGCTGAGCTGCTGCGGGATGCAAACCTCACAGCTCTGCTGTGCTCACAGAACCACAGCAACACTACCGACCCGAGTGCCCCACTGTGCAACCCCTGGCACAGTTTATTCTTGAGGGTACACCATTCACTCTGTGCTCAGAGGTCGGCCCTGACCCAGAGGTCATGAATTCTGGAGTTGGGTAGAGAACTGGCTGCAATCCCCCACGGTGTCACCCCACTGCCCTCTTCCAGAAGAAATCCTGTAAGTAAACCTTCCTGCAGTATTTATTACAATGCAAAGATCTATGCTGAGTGTTAGGATAAAGATAGCCCATAGCTACATAATCCCTGCTTCCAAGGGGGCCGCTGGGAGAGAACTAGGGAAGGAAAAAAACAAACCAACAGGTAGCAACATAATAAAACAGTTCCCAAGTGCTTTCAGAATCCCAGTTCAGAAAGCAGTGGATGGACCTCAGGTAAGGAGAGAGTCAGAACAGCATTTCCAGGTAAGGCGACACTTCCCTCATCGTGCCTTAGAGAGGGAGTGGAGGTTACCCAGAAGGGGTGGAAGAGCATACCTGACAAGAGGAATGGTGTGGGGAAAGGCTCAGAGACATTCCACGGTACAGGAAAGCAGGGCAGCAATGGGCACAAGGCAAAGAACCCAGTAAGGATGAGGCTGGAGGGCTGGGCATGGGCTACGCTGTGTGTGGCTGAGTCAACCAGGCGGAAGTCTGCTGAGTGTGGAGGAGGGATGGGGGTGGGAGACGAGGAGGCAGAGAGGCCAGCGGGTAGGTGATTATGGGGATCCAGACAAGCGATGAAAAAGATATGCTGCAAGGTACAATTTAAGCCGAGACCTAAATGAGAAGGAATCAACCACGGAAAGATCAGAGAGAATATTCTAGAAAGAGAAACAAACAATGTGAAGTCCCCAAGGAGGGAATACACGTGACTTCTGGAGGAATAGAAAGTAGGCCAGTGAATGACTAAAGAAAGTGCTAGCAGAGAGGACTAAGAGGGGAGCAAAGACAGAAGTGAACCCGGTAAACCTGGGAAAGGTGTTTGGATTTTTCTCAGCGGGAAGCCTTTGGAGAATTTTAAACGATGAACTTACATGATCTTATTAACATTTATTTCTAAGACTTCTCCTTCTCCTGGTGCTGAAGGGGATCAGCATGGAAGCAGGCAGAGCACAGGGTCTATTGACATGTCCCTGGTGAGAGAGGGGACGGCCGGGGATCAGGATAGTGAGCAAGGGGGAGAGTGACGTGGGAAGATTGGAGAGAAGCTTTGGAAGTAGAATTGACAGGAATACTTGATGTTTTAGACGAGGGTTGATAAGGGAAGGAGAAAAGCCCTGTCTCCTCAGATACCCTTGGCAAGGGTATCTGACTGTACAGCAATACCATTTACTGAGATGGGAAGTCTGCCAAATGTATGAGAGGAATGGAGGCGGCATAGGAATCAAGAGTTCTCTTTTGAATGTGTTGCGTGTAAGGTGCAGTTTAGTGTGGAAGTGAAGCTGCCCAACAGGAGATGGTTATATAGTTTTCCTTTTGTGGCTGGAGACATGAACCTGAGTGTCCCTGGTATAGACGTGGCATTTGAAAACGTGAGACAGGACGTGATTATCTAGACTGAGACAGAAGAAAAGGCAATTCAGGACCAAATCTTGGGGCCCTCCAACCTTTTAAGATAAGAAGAGAAAATTGAGGAGCAATAGAATAGGAAATGAGAATAAGAAGAGAAAGTAGTTTCAGGGACCCAAAGCAGGGGTGGAGGTGGGGGTTGCAAGAAGGAAAAAGTGGGCACCTCTCTAATTTTGCAAGAAAGGCAGGTAAAATGAGGACTGAGAAATAACCATCCCTAGCCCCTAGGACCACAACTGGCACATTGAAGATGCTAAATAAGTATGAGTTGAATTAATTAACTGAAAAGTCTAGCCCAGGGGAAACAAATGCACGACATTTTTGGCTTTCAGGATACCACTTCTCACCTTTCTTTCCCTGTGACAGACACTGATAATCAATTACTGTTCCCCCCACACTCCACCAGACTCAGTCTTGGAATCCTTCTGCTCTAGGCAGGCACCATCAAGTAATTGAAATTGTTGTGCAAATTCAAGCGTATTTGCCATTCCAGGAATAGAGTGAGGAGTTGGTGCAGGACTTCATCTCAGAGCTACTCAACAATGAGCTTCCGCGGGTCTGCTTCAGAAGGAACCACAGACAATCTGCAAAGGGTGCTGCAGAAGAAGTTCCTGCTAGGTGGGGACTGAACCAGGTGAAACTGAGGCCATGGCAGAGTCCACGGCTCACATAGCACTGCTCATATCCCCAGCATCCAGCTGCTCAAAGCCAAAAGAGGAAAATCCCACCCAGCCTAGGTTAAATACTCATGAACTAATCTTTCCCTTCTATGCATTCCTTTTCCCTGGTACCTTTATTGGTCTCCTGAAATGCCTTATCTGCAAACGCATGATTTTGTTCTAAATCTCTGCCCATGAACACAATTACCATTTCTGCTTCTTGCACAAGGTAAAAATGAATCATGAGATTCAAGACATTAATTTAACTTATCCGCCCAGCCACAGGCAGTCTGACTCCATCTCCAAATGATGCACTCCCCCACATAAAATAAAAGCAGACAGTTTTATTCTTCAGTCCAACACACTTAGCATTACAGACAGACATCTGCTGCAGACAAATCTTGGGCCTTTGGAGCCTTAATACTTTAAAATTATTCCCCGCCACCACCTGGAAGCTCATGCATCCATTTGTGGACTTTTCCACCTAATGCTGCCTTGCAAGCTAATGAGCAGTTGGTTCATAGACAAGAGCGTTGAAGCTGTTCTTTGAGAACTCCTACATCAGCAGCAGAAAGCGCAGAACGCTAACCACCAGGAGCCTCTCAGCACCCTCCACCTCCTCTCACCTTCATTAACCACTTTAACAAACACGGACTGTCAGCCCAATTCGATGCTGTTTTTTGCAGTAGAAGCTAGAGGTATAGCGAGTAATAAGGTATAGTCTCCTTTCCCATCTGGGGCTTGCCAATGGGCTTCAGAAGGTCTGTGTGCCCTCTGCAGTGACAGGTACCTGCTGTGTGTATGTGGCTATATGTGTATATGTCTCCAGAGAGTGGTCTATATTCTTCCCTGGATTAGGATTCAAAAAGGTCAGGGATCTATGGGAATGGGAAGGTCGCTTTGGCATCTCCCTCTCCTGCCTCCCCAGTCACACACAAAGCCAGGACCAAGGTTTGTCAGTTTCTTCTCCTAAGTTGCTGTGTGTTCAACCCCGTTTCTCAACGCTCCACCTTTCTCCAAACTGCCCTTCTTTCAATGGTTAGTTACAAATAGCCTCCTCAGCATCCCCCCCGGGTGTCCTCTCTCTTCTCAGAACAAAGGCCTGCCCAGATTTTCCGATCTCAGATCTGGTCATTTCAATCCCTTGTTGAAATCTTTTTAATGACTTCACTGAGCATGGATGGCCAGCCGTGAACTTTCACAGGATTGTTGGCAATTACAACAACATCCCCCTTTACTACTAGTCTCTCTACTTTATGAACTCAACCTCATCAAAGTTCTTTCATATCTTCACATTCTCTACCTGCCTTTCTGACCCTGGGCTTGTGTGCATTGTGGAATATCCTCTCCCAAAAGGCTTCTCTCTCCCTTCTCCAAGTTGTATTGAAATCACCGCTTCTCCTGTTTCCCATGACCCCCCCGACCAGGTGGAACACCATGTTGTAAAATATCATAGCTGCATGAACTTCTCCATAGACATTGTCCGAGCTGGAACCACACTGATTTTGTATGACCCATTGATTAATATCTATTCCTCAGCAAACTGTTAGTCATTGTATCCCCCATGCTTCCTGGAATGCTGTGCACAGAGAAGGCGAGGACTTGACTAACACCCAGTGAATGAAGAAATGAATGACCAGGCAGGTAAATAAATAAGCAACATCGTAGATGCCATAAAAAAAGGACACCACTGAGTACTGCTGCAGCACAAAGGAGGGGAACATCTGCTCTGTTCGTCCGGGGCAGGGCAGGGGCAGGGACTCTGTCTCATTTGCCTGCAGTGTCTAATCCAGGCTCATCGCACAGTGCATGTGAGCCACACGCGTGGACTGAGCACATGAAAAAGCACCTGACTCTGCCTGGAAGTGTGAGCGGGGGCTTCCAGAGGAGTCAGCAGCTGACATCGGGCATAAAGGGAAACTGAAAGTATCAGATCAAAGGGACAAGGCAGCAGGCAAAGGGCATTTCCAACAGAAGAAACAAATACAAAGGCCTGAAACCACAAAAAGGGAGCAAAAATTCTGAGAAGGAAAAAGAGGGTAAGTCCCAGTGTCCCTTCTGGGAGGGAGGGACTCGGTGCCCCAGCTGCTAAATGTGTGGGGGAGCAACACCTCCAGCTGTCAGCTCCCCAGGGGTGGCCTCGGCTGCTGAGAGTGTCCTGGCCCAAGGTCACCCGTTCCAGGAGCAGCCCACTCCCCAGGTGTGGCTGAGACAGGAGGACAAGGGCTAGACACTGTGGGCCATCAGGGGACAATTCTGGCAGCATTTTATGCCCAGTACTCCCAGCAGGAGCAGCACTGGCCGCCAGGACTCCCAGTGGGTTTGGGGGATCCACCCTTGGCCCTGCATCGTCACAGCTTAACTGCCCCCTCTGGCCTCCTTCCCACAGGCATGGGTCTCACCTGAGCAATGAACCGTATGCAAGTCTGCCTAGGGGAGGCCACAAGAGTGGATTTATACTGGTGAACCCACAAGAAAGTGAGTTTGGATCAAGAGCATAAGGGCCTCCTGTGGTGTGCTAAGAGCTGTCCACTCATCCTGCGGGCAAGGAGACCCCGGGGAGGCCTTGTAAGCAGAGGGTGCTGAGGTTGGAGACCTGTGTGGGAAAGACCTCCCCAGCAGCTGTGTGGCAACTACACTGGAAGGAGTCAGAGAGACCTGCTGGGAGTGTGTTGGACCAGCCTATAAAGGAGAAAAGTGAGGTCCAAGCTGGAGGAGGGGTGGGTAATGGGGAGGAAGAATGATGTCGAGAAACGTAGATGGGAAAGTCGATAGCCCCTCACCACACATGGTCTATGGGCCACAGTACAAATAAGTGAACAGTGACACTGGGAGAACAGGTTAAGTCCCAGGTGTGCTGTGGAAACCCTGCTGACTTGGGTTAAAAATAACATCAATAGTCAACACTTAAAAAAACTTGCTAAGAGGATAGATCGTTTGTTCAGGACAGATGTTCACTGAATCAACTGTGGTTGTGGTTTCACTGGCATGTACTTATCCCCAGTCTCATTTCTCATTCAGTTGTACACAGTAAGTATGTACACCTTTGTGTATGTCAAATACACCTCAGTAAAGTGATTTAAATATACATATACATGGCAACCTGGAAGAGAAGTTCTTTCTTCTAAAGGCTTTTTAAAAGCACTCCCAGGTAGCAAAGAATGAAACTGGTAACTGAAATGTTCTGACAGCATTAAAATTGATAACAAACCAGCAAAGTTTCATACGAAGATTCATCATCAAAGTTTTTATTTGTTTGTTATGATCTTGAGGCTTTTTGCTTGATATAATCAGACACTGAGTTGCTGAAGACCATTCTCATGTCAAACAGACAGGTCTTCAAAGAAAAGAAGGAGCAGGGCTATGAATGTACAAGAAAGGCCAAATGAATACAAGTAAAGAACTTGGCAGGAATATTACTCAACAAATATGCATTGAGCATCTTCTACATGCCAAGGACTATGCTAGGGGCTGGCAACACAGTGGCGTTAAGGTCTTGCATAACCCAACCCCATGTCCCTCCCTGTGATCTCCCTCCGTAACACCTTCACTCAATATCCAAATTCTACTTGTCACTTCAGAAAGAGCTTTACCTAGACATGATACATGCCCTGATCTCTACATCAGAAATGCAGGCCACAAAAGAACCTGGCCTGTTTGCAGAACAATGAGAAGTTCGACGTGTTCCAGAACGTTAGTCCAGAACACCCCTTTCCCACCTCACCACCCAGCTTGCATGTCCTCTCCACATCGAGTTAACCCCTCCCTTCTCTGGGCACCATCAGCACTTAGTTCGTACATCCATTAGAGTGTTCGAAGTGGCACATTGCATTATATATCTTTCTACCCCACTCAAAAGCTCAGAAATACTGATACATGATTGAATAGATACATGGGAGTATCTTCCCCCAAACCATGGTGTATGTGAGAACAGTGTTGTTATACTGCTCATCTTTGTACTTTTCACCGTATTTGGCATATTGTTTGGAACAAAGTAGGTGCTCAGTAAGTATTAAACAGATGTGGTTGCATTCATCAAGATTGCTATTAATGATCACAAATTTGTCACATGCTACATGACATTTGGTACCTCTTGAAAACAGAGGCAAAATGATTATTTAATAACAAAGATCTTACCAGACTGCAGGATGGTGAAGAAATATATGTTACGGACCAACACAGATAACGTTGTGTTTAATTATTTAAAAATTAAACCTCTTGTAGAATGTGTACCTGATAGAGCATCAGACATGAAAGGACAACTCAATTCCTTTTGGAAAAGGATCATTCATCTGGACCGTTTTGGTGAAGTAGAGTCACTAGTCTTGACCCTACGAAATCAATGCTGATAATAAAAGCTACCACCTCTTAGTAATTGGTCTTGTGTCAGATGCTTGCTCCACCCTTTAGAATATTATCACATTAAATCCTCTTGATAGCCAAATGTGAAAAGCATTATTTTATTGTTCCTATTCCATATCTCCTTCTGAATATTAAGCTTCAGAGGGGTGTAATAATTTGCTCAGAGTTGTGGAGCTAGTAGGCTAAAGAGCTGGATTCAAGCTCGCCATTGTTCCCAAAGCCCAAGCTCTGAACTAGTCTGCTCTGTAAGGTCAAACAGGGATATCAGGTAATGCTTTTGGTTGAATCATAAAAGGGATCATCTATCGGATAGACTCCAGTCTCCTCATTTTACAAAGATACAACTGAGATCCAGAGAAATGAAGGAATACAGGGTCTTAGAATCTCATGACTGAAACAGACTCTAAAATTTACCCAGGCAACTTCTGACTTAATATGTTTTTAATAGCTTTATTGAGCAAAGATTCACAAAGCACAAAATCCACCAGTTTAAATATATAACTTCAATATACAAAGCACAAAATCCACTGATTTAAATACACAGTTTTTAGAATATTCACAAGTTGTGTGTCAATCACCATAACCAAATTTTAGAACATTTCTATTATCTCCCAAAGAAACCCCATACCCAATACCAGCAAGTCCACATTCCACCCCCAACCCCAGTCCTAAGCAACTACTACTTTGTCTCTGTGATTTGCCATTGGGGACATTTAATACAAATGGAGCCACACAACATGTGGCCATAAGTGACTGGCTTGTTTCACTCAGCATAGCACCTGTTTCCGAATATCTAAAAGACAGAAAATCAGTGGCAGCCACAAGGAATAGTGGGGTGGCCATGTTTCCTCATGCAATCTCCATTAGCCCCACCCTATAAGCTACCCCAAGATAAACACAAAATCTAAGTGATGGGTTGAATGGTGCTTCTCCCCCCCAAATTCATGCTGTACTCCTAAAACCCAGCACCTCAGAAAAGGAGTTTATTTAGACATAGGGTCATGAAAGAACTGATCAAATTAAAGCAAGATTATTAGAACAGGCTCTAATTCCATATAATTGGGGTCCTCCTAAGACAAGGAGAGCTGCAAACAGACATGCACATGGGGAGGGTGACACAGGAAGTTTCGAGTAATAACACCTTAAGCAGAGGAACTACCAGAAGCAAGGAGAAGGACCTGGAACTCTCCTAAGGCACCCACCCCACCATCTGGGCTCTGGACCGTGAGATAGTAACTTTCTGTTGTTTACACACCCAGTTTGTGCATTTTGGTACAGCAGCCCTAGTAAACTAACACAGTACCACAACACAGGTTCTATACTTTTCCTCTCCCTGGCAAGGGCATTGCTACCCTTAAGTCTCCTGTCTAGCCAAGCTCTACAAATCAACATTTCTCTTAAATCAGATCCATGAGATTTTCACCTAATCTCATCATCTCCCAGGGACCCCCATTGTAAGCAGTGGTACCATCATCCTAACAAATGGACACGCCAGAATACTAGGCAAGTCGTCTTTGACTCCTCTTCTCTGTGCGCTGCCCAATCATATACATGCATACAAGCACATGCATACAGACACATGCATGAACGAACACAGCGCTAGGCTAAGAGTTTTACAAGGGGATTCTGGTATGCTTTTAAAGACAAATAATGCCAATACTGTTTAGAAATATTCCAGATCATTCAAATTCAAGCTGGTAAATTCTTTCACGAGGTCAGCAAATTATTATCAGAACCTGAAAAATAAATTTAAAAAATATATAAAATCTCAGTAAAGAATATCTATATAAACCATAATCAAGACATTAGTCTACATAATCAATGGGTGTTTAAAAGAATAATATTCCATGACCAAGTGCAAAATCAGTTCAGCAATGCAAGTTGGCTTCTTCTCACTCACTGGCCCAGAATGTTAACAAACAAGGGACTAAGAATGGGTCAGCATGATTTGCCTGTGAAAGCCCTGCATTCCATGTTACTCAGTAGCCTAATCTACTTTCAATATATATGGATATTTTTTCACTTTTTTCAAGAATCGTTTTAAATTTCTTGGCTCTGGACACCACGCTTTTCTCATTTTTAAATACACTAACAGTTTTGGCAGACTTTATTCTATTGAAAGGTCTGTCTACATGAACCTCTTGCCAGTATTAATGCAGAAAAAAACCCTCACTGCCAGTGTTTAATGGATGTGACCAGTTATGTAATAGTCAAAAACAACCTTTCCCACTCATGAATTTGAAATTAAAAGTTCCAAACCCACTTACCAGTGAAAAATTTCCTGGGAAAATTCTTTTAGCTCTGAAATTTAACCCAACTCTATGTCACTGCTATGATCATCTATCTATTCCTGTGTAACAAAATATTGGGCAAATAAAATTTTTTATCATTAGCCATCATGGTCCCATGGGTTGACTGGGTCTAGCTGGTCGGTTCTCCTGTTGGGTTTTTCACATGGTTGCAGCTGGTTGACAGTTGACCTACACAGATCTAAATAAAGTCTCACCTCAGTTGCAGGTGCAAGATGGCTTGTTCACATGGCTAGTATTTGATGCAGGTTGTTGGCAGGGAGATCACTGGGGCTGTTGACCAGGATACGACTTGCAACTCAGATAGCAACACGGTCAGAGAGGTAAGCCCAGGCACAGCAGCCAAGGACTGACTGGAGCAGCCCACAGTCAGTTCTGTTACCTCCTCCACAGCAGAAAGACGCATCACTGGAAGCCCTTTAAATTCATGAAAAGATTGTATGCCATTTAGAGATCAGGGTCGGTCCTGTGTGGAGACCCCTCTGGAACACCACTCGGACGTCCTTGGAGGCTCTGGGAGCACTTGGCTTTGAGTTGGACAAGTCTGGATTCCAAGCTGGCAGATTTTACCACCTTTCTTAACCTCCTCTTTATAATGAAGGCAGCATTATACAACTTGCTAAGTTGTGGTGAGGCTTTTAAAAGGTTAATATATGTGAAGTACTTTGTATACTGCCTGATATGAGGTAGGAGAATTAATGATTATCATCATTGCCATTAATATCATCATTGTTTTGCTGGGGGAAAAAAAGGACAATATTCAGAAAAAACTAATGATTTTCACATTTTAAACATGTATAACCCTACATTCCATATTATTCCTCTTTTTTTATCTACTGTGGGTTCCGTTTTCATACAAAAAGTCAAATGAAACTATTTGACTTACATTCCATCAATTAACTTACTGTCTGAACATTTTTCTACTCTACGTATGGTTATAAAGAAACTGTTAGACTCTGTAGACTGTGTGTGTGTGTAAGCACAGGGAAAGGATTGAAAAAACATATACCAATATGTTAAGACTGATCATCTTTAGATGGTCATATTAATCATAGCTTTATCATTTCTCCCACATTCCAATGAACTTATAACAAGCCTTACTCTTAAACTCAAAAGAAAAAAGAAGGCAGTGTACTTCCATGTATGTCAGACATCTTGACCAGAAAATAGAAAATAAATAAAATATAAAATTCTTCTTCCTGCTGCTCTGATGAGCCTATAAATAATGGAATCTAGCATTTCTGTGACTACAATGAGCATTCCCTTACTTGCCCTCATTTCTATATTTACAGTTGTAGAGACCTGCCATGTCCTTGGTATGCTGGCAGACTCTGAAGAAACTTAGATAAAATGAAACCCTTAGCCTTCTTTAAAATCCCCAGTCATTACTGAAGCCACCCCATCTGTCGACATCCCAGTGCGCCCTTCCCCATCAGCCCTCCCTAACGGGCTTTTCCTTGTGTTGCGCCCACCATGGGGCTACCCTCTGCCACAGCTCTCACTACAGTTTGAGTCGTATCTGAGGAACATGGGAAAGTGTTCTTGTCCCCAGAAAAGCACCCATGTGCTCCTTGGAGAAGGGGGTTGACCCCTCTCCACCCCTTTCTTCACTCAGATTCATTCACTAGCACTAGTAGGTGCCACATCATTACTTGTTATATTAAACGTTGCTCAATTATTTTATTTCACAAAGTAACTCAAACCAAGACAGGCTTGTGGGTTGGCTAAAGTCACACAGCAGAGCCAACACCTCTGCTTCTTCCTCCCCAGCAAGTACCACTGCGTTCCTCCAGTCAATGCCATGGCCAGCCAGGAGAGGCAGCACATGTAGGCAGTGGGACAGAGGAACCAGGTTCACATGTCTGCCCATGGGATCAAAGACCAGTTCTCTGAGGTCCCTGCTGCACAACTGCCTCCTCCACCAGAAGCCCTCCCTGGTAGTGAGGCCCCACTGGGCAGGGCCTGGCCTAGCCAGGCCTGCCCAGGGGAGGTAGTTTTACAGCTGGAAATCCCAATGGTACAAATATAGCTTGGAAGCATCACAGCAGAAAAATGCTGAGCTCAGGGTTAAGCAGACCTGGGACTCAGTTGTATTTCTTCTGCTTACCAGCTGTTTAATATGGGGTAAGTCATTTTCCTTTCCTGCATCTGTTTTCTCCTCTGCTACCTGGGAATTATAGCACCTACCCGGTAGGCACAGTGTGGGCGACCAGTAAAGGAGGCTGGTCTGTGTCATTAATGCTTTTGACAATGACACAGTATCCTGGTTGCCCACAAACTTAACTTCCCTGTCACACCAAATATCTACCCACATCGTCTGCCCTGTGGATGAGGCTCTGCAAGCTGAATGCCATGATGCCTGGAGTATGAAATAAGCAAGAGTAATAAGACATTTCCCTGGAATTCTTAAGGAACCACCTTTGGGGAGGCCATAGGTATCTGTGGTGGGTAACTGCACCCCGGGGATCCATGACCACTTGGGCTCCTACACACTCTCCCTGCCTCTTCCCTAGACTCCCTGTTTGCTATATATTTGCTTATGCATTCACATAAGATAGCACATCAAAAGGTAGTATATTAATCAGAGTCCCCATTTTTGTTTATGCTAGGTGCCCAGAGAAGAGAACCATTAGTGGGATTTGGAAGTGTTCAGCATCTCCTGAAAGAGATGATGTTTTAGCTGCCT